CTGAGGTAATAGTCCATAGCTTCCTCTCGAAAATCATCTTTCACCATTCCAATTGATCCAGTATCTTGAAATTCCAAGATTCGAGCTCCATTTGAGTAAGGTTCCCACAACGGTAGCCCGGGAAAATTTGGGTCGAGTGTGTTGGTGAACGCGATCCAACGAGCTTGGAAATCATCTGACCTCCTCCCTGGTATGATACCAAAGACAGCGAGGAGATCAAAAGTATGAGCGGTACCTAATCTCTCAAAGTCAACACGTAGCCTCATAACAGGTCATTTTTGTAATTCGATAACATACCTACAACGGGGGTGAATTTCATTGCACGGTCAATGTACCCATAGGAAGGCATAACTGATTGAGTGGTACGAAGCGTGAGCCGACGAAAAGCCTATGATTTCTGTATTCATCAGCTTCCAATTTGTTGTAGAAAACTTTAGAAAAACCGAACCTGAAATGTAAAATCGCCAAAGAGCGCAGCATATTGTTTGTACCCAGGGGTGATAGCATTTAAAATACCTGTGTTGAATGGTGAGCCTTGGGTGATGTCTTGTGGATAAAGCTGGAGAATCTCAGTCGTTTCGGTTTCACTGGCCTTGGGACACAGATACTGAAAGTCTGTTACATAAAGTCCAGTTAACTAATTGTAAACTACAGTGATAGGAAAATGTGAAAGAGGATCGAAAGGGTCAGAAAATTGTACATACATTGTCTTACATCGTCCTCGGTAATCAGCCGGCTTAGCTGCCCCAGAATCAACAGGGTTCCTTCGTCATCCTGATTACCAGAGATAAGTGGAACCTTTGCGTCTAGGGAATATCGAACAAGATCTTAATTGTCTCATACGTTGTGAATGTGAAAAGCGGAAGCGCACATTTTCCTTCAGATAAAAGCTGGTCGATATTTGCAGTCACAAATTCTTCTGAAAACGATCATAGTTTTAATCAATACAAGGATAGATAGGGTAGGGGAAGCGGATGAGGGTTGAACGAAATGAAGGCTAAAAGGTGGTCTTACCATCGATGAAGGGTGAGAAAGGCGAAGGAAATGATCCAGACGAGAATAATCCTGGGATCCGGTTCACAGCTGCACTGTTGTTCAGAGTTTGATTAGCTATGTTTTAGGGAATTATTCGACAACAGGTATTGCTTACAATAAATGTTCATATTCTACTGCACGTAAGCAGTCTAGGGAATTTGATGAAGATGCACATCCGGTATAATTGACTATTTTGTCATAAATTGGTTGACCCGCGCCAGAAGATAAAGCTTTCAAGAAAAAGAATTCGATGAGTAAGAGAACACTGTAGTCTTTTGAAGTTTCGATGGCTTACTTTCTACCGGGAAGGCTGAACCGGATTCACAGATCGCAGCGCGAAAAAGACCCTCGTTATCACCATTGTTGATGAGAAGGTGGTACGAGACCGCGATCGCTCCGGCTTAACTTGCATAACACAAATTCAGGGTTGTAGTCTCTGAGAAAAGAGTCCTTCATCTCTACTCACACGATTCACCAAATATGGTGACTTTGGATGGATCGCCTCCGAATTCAGAAATGTATTTCTGGAGGACAGAAGGATAGATTCAGAGTGAGTTCACAACGAATATGAAGCTATCAGGAAATGTATGTAATGGGACTCACTTGAACCCACTTCGTGGCCAAGCGCTGATCTTTGAGGCCGAGGTTTCCAACGCCAGCTTCCCCGTGTAAATGTCACGTGTGGATCAGCTTCAAAGCTGTATGTATAGGGTATAAATATCTTACTTTTCTCTAATTGCCGTTCCTCTTCATCCTGACTCTCTACCACCACGACTCTCAACCACCACACCAACCACCACACCAACATATCATTTCATAAAAACCTTTACTATTTCCTGCATTCTTCCCACTTCTCTTCCATTTCTCTTTCATCATGAATCTCCCCAAGTTAACTTTTAAAAAGATCTTCGGTCCTCGTTTTCAAAAAACCCTCTTTTTTTACTTCCCGTTGAACTTCTTCTTTGTTATCTTTTTGATTTTTGGCGCTCACAAGATGTCTCGTTTCAAAGTTCCAGAGTTGTTCATCCTTAAACTCATCGCTAAAAAGTTGTACATCATTCTTCCTTGGGCTTATTTCCATTCTCATGTTCTTTACTCTCGCTACGACACTCTTCCAAAGAAGCGTTCGACTATTCCTGAGAAAGATATCGAACTCGGTCCAGTAGCTCCTCTTCCGAAACCTCCCGATGCTCCAACCCCTCTTCCAGCCGAATTCGTTGAAATTGATCTAGGTATGTTATCTTTCCTACATTTCTTCTTTCTCATGATTTTATAAACCAGTCTAACAAACTCTTCAATTGCTTCTAGGTGAAGGTCCCTCAAACTGCGGTCTTCCCGATCCTCCTCGACCTTTTTTAACGTGTGAAGTTTGAAGAGCTCAACTTGATTTCATCTCGGTATGTTATCTCTGCCTTCATTTGTCATCTTTTATCTTTTCTGAGCGCGAATCCATTATGTATCTTGATTTATCTAATCATTTTGACTCTTTCCAATTCTCTTGTGACT